GCCCGCCCACCCGCTCACGTGATAACATAATACGTCCCCGTCTTCGACGGGCGTATAAAAATTATGTTGTTGACAAATGTTCATGACATTTAAGGAATTGTAAGAATAAGAAATAACAAAATCCTGTAATAACACTTCATTGGTCATATCTTCTTGTAATGTCACTTGAAGTTAACTTCAATGGAAAAAGTCCCTATAGAGTAATTATTGTACATTTAAGTGACCACGTGTAACACTAGATCAAGAGTATCAAGAGAAGTAAAGTCACCTGAGGTGAAGGTCTGAAGTCAAGGAGAGATGAGACTATAGTACTACATATATTCCGTCTTTGAGTATTGCAGAGTTATCTTCTCTTGGGAGCAGGTATTGATTGTTACGTCACTTGTTTGTGAGAGTAACGTCATCAATTTTTGAGAAAACGATATATTTTTCTCACACAAACCAACGACGTAACAATCAATACCTGCTCACAAGAGAAGATAACTCTGCAATACGCAAAGACGGAATAGAACCCATGAGGCTATCCAACCTGGATCTTTATATGTAAGTTGGACTTGAAAATAAACTGCTTGAACTCCTATAGCATTGAAAAAATAAACCATGTATATATATACATGTATACACTTACATTAGAAATATCAGGGTAGTCACTTACTTGTAAATTTTCTCATTTCCAAAAAAGTTGTTCACAAAGACAAAGTTGTCCATATCATAGTCTTCATAATTCGTTATTCTTTTGAGGAACATTCCAAACTATTTAAGCAAAAACAAAAAAAACAACACAAACAGTTACTTGGAACATTAATATATTCATGACTTTTTTTATAATTGAATCAAGGATAATGAGTTACAATGGGCTTAATCTTATAAGTTTACCACTAAATTAAGACTTACTATCATCAGTTTACCACTAAGTTTAGATTTACTCTCACCGGTTTACCACAAAGTTTCGATCTACTCTCTTCGGTTCACCACTAAATTTAGATCTACAACAATCAGTTTACCACGAAGTTTAAACCAATTCTCATCAGTTTACCACTAAATTTAGATCTACTCTATCAGTTTACCACTAAGTTTAGATCTACTTTCATCAGTTTACCACTTAGTTTAGATCTACTCTCATCAGTTTACCACTAACGTGACTAAGTTTAGATCAACTTTCATCATTTTACCACTTAGTTTAGATCGACTTTCATCAGTTTACCACTTTATTTAGATCTACTCTCATCAGTTTACCACTAAGTTTAGATCTACTTTCATCATTTTACCACTTACTTTAGATCATACTTTCAAGTTTAGACATTCTTTTTACAAATGGAAAGTTTGTGATCAAGATTTTCCATAAAATCATTTCAACACACCATTTCATTTTGAATGTCAATAAAATATACGTATATGGTGCTTACACATATCCTTCCTAACCCCTCAGATTCGAGGGACACTGATATATTTGAGTCTTGGACTTGTACTCCTGTCCTTCCCTTGTGTCTCGACCGCTATATCTCTTAGTAATGGACTTGACAGTCTTGTTTTTAAGCATTGTAACTGATGTTAAACTGCTGTTAAGACTCAACCATTTTCTGCCTTGCCATTCACAATTCTATTTTATTTCTAACATGATTATTTTCACCAATACAAGTAATTTATACATGTATGCACATAGCCTATGTCAAGAGAAGATACGTTTATGGACAGCTTTTATTCTTCAAACTTGCATGACTGTCAAATCTAATCTTCAAATTTTACCAAAAGGCTACTTAGGAATACTTTGGATGACTTAACCCTCAGAGATGACAAATGCAACTGCAGATGGTTTTATTGATAATATTACAAATATTTGTATCCAAGTCCAAATTTGTTTTAAGGTTGTCAATACCTGGAAATTTGACTTCTCTCTAAAGAATTGCCTGTGGAATTTGAATGACTCTAAATAATGTGTAAGAACAAAAGTTAACCCATGACTTAAGCTTCCAGTTGACCCTTGATATTTTTATCAGTCTCAGCAGTCAAATCACCTTTTCCATGTAATCTGAAGGGTCAAAACACAAGCCAAATAGACACATGATCATTTTGAACTGAAGATTGAATGTTTATTGTGGAGTAGGGGTCAAAATGTTATTCTCAAGGGTCTACTGAAAACCCCGAACCATACAAAATATACCTGGTCGACGATCTTCTCCTGGATGATTCCTAGTTGTTTAGGTGAGGGAAGGTCCTTTTTTGGGATTCCTGTGGGCATCTCACTTTTATTATTTTTAGGAGAACAGGACAGTATATCTGTTTCTGAATTTTTCTCACATTTCCTTAAAATTCCATTTTCTCCTTTCTGTTTCATACACTGATCAGTTTCCATTTGTTGTGTTGCCATGTAGCCATCGAAAAATGTCATGGACTCCAAAAATGGAGCTGTCACAGATTTGCCTTTAAATCCCTGTGCTGGTACAAAGCTTTCGGATGAAGATAAATGTGTGGAAGGCAATGTCATATGAGCTTCAAGTTCCGACACACAACTGTCTTTAATCTTTGTTATTTTACCTCCATTGTTTTTCTTTATGGTGACAGTACTATACAACTTTTCACTAGCAGCGTCAGTGTTGCAGTGTGATTTCACTCTGTCATTGATTACTTCTGGTAACACAAAAAAAGTGTCCCTTCCAAAGACATGTGGTACCGTGACCAGAACTGGTTTTGGTGTATTGTCACATTTTTGCAGGTGAGCAGCTCTTTCCTGGTTTCCCACAAAGACTATATCCCTGGGAGGCCACTGCAAAATTAACATAATATGTTGTACAGTACATGGCGTTCGATATTAACTTATATCACAGATCTAGATGTACATTATATGCACATATTTATTAATTCTCTTTATATAATTAGTTGTAAAGTTTAATGAGTATACACACAATTGAAGTGATATAATTTTCGAATGGATTTCTACAACTTGCCAGCTTGCATTGTTGTAAGTCTGGTAATGAAAACCATGACAACCAGATAAGAAATTACCTCAATGAACTATTTTTTGGCAGATACACCCAAGGTCACATCATAAGATCCTGTCGAGGTTGGTTGGAAGATAATCAAGTATGTTTAGGTGGATGGGGTAGGGGGTGGCATAACTATTTACTTCAAACATAGATATATAAAGAAACCTTCAAAATATATTGAAACTTTCTTCCAACCAATCTCAACAAGACTGTTATTACAGCCCCAGTTATCGGAATCACTTTATTATATCCTATTATAGATGTGGACAAGCAAATCTGATCACAACACATTTAATGATAATTGTGTCCGTGGCATGCATTTATCAATTATGATTATGGTTACATTCTAACTAAGTTCAAGAAGGACTTTCCTTTAGCTGAATTGGCTGAATAAAGGCCCGAAAGGTTGGTTTCATCCCTGGAAGACACACCAGTCTCGTCCTGTGTTACAAATGATGCTGTGGTTTGTTTTGTGGTGATCATCTTGGGCATTTTTGTTTGGTTTTTTTTAAATGGGGGGG